TTCTTCTTTTTTTTTTCAGGTCAATTGTATTTCAAAAGGGAATTTTTCATCAATACCATAGTTTTTAACTTTTGGCATTTATATATAGGTTATGTTTGATAAAATTAATTGATAAGCTAAGTGATACCTGATAAGTTAGTTTATAGCTTATAAGTTATGATTGATAGCCAAATAAGTTATTTTATAGCTTATTTGGTTAGTTTATAAGCTTCATGTATTCAAATAAGTCTCGTTTGGTAGGATGAACTTTTTAAAAAATGCTCGAGCTTATCTGATAAGCTTCTTCAGGTAGGTTTTCAAATAAACTCTCGTTGAAATTTTATTTCAGCTAGCTTACTAGCTAATTTTGCCAAATACTTTTATCGTATAAACTAGCTTTTCAGCTATTAGATTTTCAGCTATTTTGAGCTTATAGCTTATTATAGGGTTGAACAGTTCTTAAAGCTTATAAGAGATTTTTTAGTGTTTTTTTTTTTAAATATACTTTAGTTTTTTTTTTTTTTGTATTAAGTTACGTATATCTATTTAATTATTTTGATTTTTTAAAATAATTTTCAAATTTTGGCGTATCCCTAAATGTTTGTAATGTTTGAGTTGTACCTGAACTGAACCCGAGCTCCAAGACATCAAACTCGGTCTTAAGCCTTTATCTGCACGACTTGTTAACAAGCTCGACTTAATAAGTTAATATATATGATCAAATTTTAAAAAAATACATAAAGAATTTAATTATCAAGCCTAAAGTCTTAACGAATGATCAACTTAGTTTGTTATGTTTCAAACAAGTTTGAACTTGATTTGTTTATCAAACAAGCCGAGCAAAGCTCACAAATGGCTCATTTTGTTTAACAATTCTAGTTTCTTATATTTTAGTATTTGAAAGACATAAAGAATCAATACCTATAACACATAAGGAATAACTACCTAAACTCTATTTTAAAATAAAATAAAAAAAAATATACAAAACTTAATGATAATACACCCAATTTACCAGCAAAATTTATTCATTTTCTTACCTTTTTCATTTTTCGTATGAAGCAATGGCCAATAGAAACATCAAACTTCTGATGGTGACATGGAGCCGTGCCATTGGTCCAACTGGATTCGCTTGGTCATATGTCGCATCCTCTAATAACTGCGACTCTTACGGATAACAAAGGGAACCACGCTTTTAATAAAATTACAACAGAAATTTCATATTCCCATTGACATTCTTATAGTAATAAACCAAAAATTGGTCGTTAGAATCACCAAATTTCATTTAAAACTCCAATGTAAAACTCATTGCAACAGAATATTTTCGTTAATGTTCATTCCAATAGAAACTACACCATTATAATATTTTACCATTGAACATGACAATTTTATTTTAGTGTTAATTATTTTGATAATAACTTGAAAAAATAAGTTGAATTAAATTAAAATTTAATTTTAAGTTAAAAATTTATATCAAACTGTAGTTTCCACCCAAAAAATTATCCACCATTAAAAAAAAAAAAATGTATCAAATACTCCTTAATTAAAAATGTAGTTTTAATAAGATAGAACATCATTTAAGGATCCTTAATTATGACGGGGATCAGAGGGCATATATGCAATTCTCTCTTTTGTTCGGTGGCCGCTTAAAAAACACAATGATTTGGGTCTTTACATCTAATTGTTACTTTTCAACCCCAAATCTCTGAATTTGATTCTAGGAATAATTTTACAAAATAAATTAAAAATATTTGAGGACAATCTAGCAAATATTGCTAGTGTGGGGGCAAAGATGTAAGGAAGTATATTCTCCAGGAATGTTTAGGCAATGGTGATGAGATTCTGAATAATAGCAAATATATATTGAGAGTGTAAAGAGTAATGTTCCTCTACTCACGGTGGACACATGTTAATATGTTCACCGCTTATGTGACATACACACATTAGTGATGTTAATATGTTAAAAAAAATACACCACTAATGTGTGCATGCTACATAAGCGGTAGACATATTAATATGTGCCAGAGCCGGCCCTGGCTATTATTTGGCCCTGGGCTAAATACAAAATAATGCCCCATTGTTTCCTGAATTCTAAAACAAAATGATGGAATCTGTATAATATCAATAATTATTCAACAAAATTTTCCCTATAAAATGAGGAAATTTATATTTGAAATAAAAGGTATGATTCTCAAAGGAAAACAATTAATTGTCGGCTGAATTCATTTTGGAGGCTTTTTATTTTTTTATTTAAAAAAAAAAGCTCAAGGTAATATGTACGAGAATTAGCTCTAAAAAACGACAAACAACAATTAAATAGAAA